CCCCCCCCCCCCCAGACTAAGGTGGCACCAGTTGCCCATGGCTATGGCGACAGCTTTGAATTTCCATTTTCAAAAGAAGAAAGCTCAACGGTTCAACAATATTGTAGGTTCAGCATTCAACTTGTGGTGGCCCAATTTAGACTGGAATGGAAATTTGGGATGAAGTGTAACAAGACTTCAATTATCCCGTGTGTGTGATACCTTCATACTTCCTGTTTCCAAAGACGTTCATAATTGACTCAAAGATCTTAATCATCTCTCTCTTATTAGAGGAGGCTAAGTAATAATGCATTCTGTATTCATTGGACTTATGTGAGGATAGTGGTGCAAATCCTGAAAGGTACCGAGTTGCTTGTTACCTCTTCTTTGCAGCTGGAGGAGCGGAGGAACAGAAGTAAGGTGACTCATTATGAAGTGCTACAAAAAGTCAGTGGAGGATTAGGATTAATGAATCTCAGGGTGTGTTCTCCTGCTCTAAACAGTACACTGTGGTGGTAGCTCAAGAAAAGACGCTGGCTTTTACAAGCACATTCACAATGTGTATTGCTGCATTTGCACTAGAAATTTCATTAATCAGAGCAGTTAGGTAAGAGCAGAGATTCTCAACCTGTGGTCTGTGGACCACCACTGGTCCCTGAGCTCCATCCGGGTGGTTGGCAGAAAGGCTGTGGAACAATTGAGAATATCTGTACTTGGCCCTGCACTTGATTTATTTTTTCTGAAGATGGAGATTAAGTGGTCTGCCAATACCCCCAGCACTTTTCAAGTGGTCCGTGAAAAGAAAAGTTTGAGAACTTTAGAGTTTGCTTTGTTAGTAGCATGATTACAGGTGAATTATAGCTGTCAAGTAACTATAACTGCAACTTCTGTCCCTTTCATCGCATGCTTTCTGTTGTACTCTTTAAGTTGTCTAGCGATGTCACAGTCTGATTTGGAGGTCCCATGGTTGTTTTGAGGATGTGACTTATTTTACTAATCTAATTTGACACAGGTCACTTGCCCTGTCTTCTCATTTTACTTGATGCTCAGTTTCCCTGTCTTGTTCTTCTGTCTCCCCCTCTTTGAGGGCAAGCATGATGTGAAATTACAATGGCAGCAATGAAGATAAACTTCCACTTTCTTATTTAAAGGAAAAAGTCTCTTAATGAAATGAAGTACTGATGCAGTGCTGTTGAAACCAGAAATGTAAGACAGGTTTATTATCTTCCCTATCATGCCAGTGATTCCTCATTAATTAAGAGGATAGCTCAGTATCAGTAGAAGAGACATGAGTCCTAGGTTAGGGTTAGGGCTGGGCTTTGCTAAGTGAGCTGTCTGACCAGAAAATCTAGGTAAAGTATAAGAGACAATATTGATGAGAAACTTATTTCCTGTAAACTAGAACACACCATGTCTGATTCTCATTCAGTTAACAAGTCACATTAGCAATGAGGTCTGTTAATATTCTGATCTAGTTATGTTTTAAACTCATTTAGCACTGTTGGAAATAACACAAAAATTAGGGTGACAACAAATCAAGCACTCCTAATAACAGCAATATTGGAAGATGCTGAAAAGAACTGCCACGTGAACTTGGCACATGAACTGCCACATGAAATTGCATGTCCAGTACCAGGTATTTTTAATAAATCTCTACAGTTGAGGTAATACAGTGACTGTAGTATGGCAAATATGGTACCTGTTAAGAGAAGAGAGTTATCTTTGAACTACAGGTCCATTAGCTCAACCTTAATTATATGCTAGGCTTCTGAGCAAATTTTGATGGAAAAAATAACTAAAAACTTGGGGGTCACATCTGGGCACTCTCCAGCCTGAGTAACCAGGTACCCATTTACAGCTGGGGACAGTCTTTGGTGTATAGCTGGGGTTAGTGTCAAACTCTCATCTCTAGAACTGTAGCAAGATGCTAAAATTGTTCAGAAACTGTTTCCCTCTGCTAGAGATAAGGAAGCATTAGTGGTGTAAGACAGGGCAATTCACGTGAAATACTGTTTTAAATACCAATTACCTGCGGGCAGGAAAGATGAACGCTCACTCAACTGCGTTCAGAAACGTCTTCTAGCATGATCAGTGGAGAACATTGAGCTTGTTTCTGAGAGGAGACTAAAAAACTTCGCTGTTTTAGCCTACAAAAATAAGGATGAGAGAGGTTTTAGTATGGTCTGTAAATAGGGACCTACCAAATTCTTGATTGTGTGATTTTTGTGGAAACTGTGAAATTGGGTAGGCTCCACAAAACATAGTAGGCTCTGCAATTTTGGTTGCCTCATTGCCACCCCGCCACCCCAAACTTACCGGTAAGCAGAGAAAAGGGTGGGAAGCCCCACAGTCTTGGAGCATGGGTCGGGGGGGAGAGGCAAGGGTGGAGGTAGCAGGGAGGGGAGGAAGGGCACAGCTGCTCACAGCAGGAGGTGGGGATGCTGCACAAACAACTGCACCAGGGTCCCAGGTCAGCTACGGC